AATAATCTTGTAAATTGTTTTATAAATACCAATATCCATCATGTAGATAGCAGTGTAAATTCCAACACTTTAAACTCCCATACCGCCATAATCACAAACCCAGGATAGTTTGTAATGCACCCAAGAAATACATAACAATATTAAATCAAAATATAAGAGGTTTGATACATAAAATCGAGTCATTGGAAATAATACTTGAAGAAATTGATCCAGCATTTTTGGTATTAACAGAGCATAACTTAAAACATGACGAATTTGATAAAATAAATGTCAATGGATATAAAATGTGTTCTTTTTACTCTAGATATACATCCAATGGTGGGGTGGTGATAATGGCGAATGGCAGTGTGAAGTGGCAAAACCTTAATATACCAAGCATAACAGACTTATGTATAGATTAAATATTTGAATGTTGCTCTGTATCAATTAAAAATGGGAAAGATAAAATTGCACTGATGGGGATCTACAGATCACCTGCAGCTAGTGATTAGGTGTTTTTGGAAAAAATCAATAATGCTCTAGAAATTATTACTGGGATTTGTCCTTACATAATTGTAGCAGGAGATTTTAACATTAATGTCTTAGAGGATGCTAAAGATCAGTTAATGAGAAATGAATTTTTTAATTTACTAAAAAGATTTGGTTGCAAATATTATGTTAATTTTCCCACTAGAGTTACCGAGTCAACAGCTACAGCAATTGATAATTTTGTTTCCAATATTGACAAAAGTAAAATTCATGTTGAAGGTATTATTACAAGTCTCTCAGATCATGATGCCCAATTGTTAATGTCGTCTCGTTTAAACAATACCAGTAATGTTAAAAAAATTACAATAAGTAAAAGAGCATACACAGATGAAAATATGGCATTATTTAAAATAATTTGTGCCTAGACAACAGCCCAGCCAAGACACAGAGACATACACCAGCACAACACATGACATGCCACCAATTTTCACCCTCCCACAACACCACCTGAGTCTGTATGAGCAGAAACCATTCTACAAAGGTGCTGTCTACTTTAACAACCTACCTGAGCACCTTAAGAGAGAACAACCCAGTCTGTTCAAGAAGCACCTGACAACATGGCTTATGGACCGGCCATTCTACTCAGAGGATAAATTCCTAAACAATAAGTTACTATTAAAAAATAAGCTAATTGTAATTGCAAAGGATTTTAATATTTGTTCCTGACGCATGAATGTTCTCTAGGAATATTTTAATAAAGAACTTGTCTATTGTCTATTGTCTATAGCATGTAAACCAGTAAACCTATGTAAAAGCAGATACCTACATCGGGAATAGTTTTCTGGCCAAAATATTATGTAGGGGATTTCAGAGTGAGCAGTCCGAAGCTCCTGGTAGGAGGACAGTTAATGTTGTGAATGAAGAAGTTCTCTCTTGATTTAATTAAGTGGTCACATGTGTTTAACTTAAATTTTTGTGAGCGAAGCCACGGCGGGGTAAGCTAGATAAGCCAGCTGCTTCCTTCATTTAACTCTCAATGATGTTTCATATTAAACAATGTAATTAAATGTTCTTTTATTTCTTAATATTTAGAAAAAATAACATAAATCCAGAATTTTAGTTTATTGCATATTTTTTTAAGCATTTCTTTATCTTTTTAACCGACTTCCCCACTACCAACAAAAGGAGGAAGTTCTCAATTTTTTTGTGGCATTGTTTTTTTTTCTATGTATGTTCACCAATTTCTCTGTGTTCACAAATTTTTTTACCGATCAGGGTGGTTCCACCACCAAAATAACCAGGAGAGTTTCTATTTGGCACCATATATAGCATTATGTTTAAGTGTAATATTTGTTTCGGTGAAAAATGCTGAAATCCACAAAAATTCAACAATTATTTTGTTTATTTGTGCAGAGAAGGCAATAAATAATAATCATATTCCTACAGCTGTTAAGCCGGGTTTACACGATGCCAGTTGGCGAGACAATTGTCTTTACCAATTGGCATCACGTGGTTTTGGAATTGTCGTAGGCCAGTCCAGTTGAACGCGGACCTGTTCACACGTGGCCGACAATTGCCTAGGCAATTGAGGGTTATCACATATACATCAGCTGATCCACATCCGGACTTGGCACTTTTTTCAGTTTACCCATCTCAATGTTAAACGTACCGTGAAAAGCCTTGATTTTTGCTTTTACCTCAGCTACACCAAATCCTTGGACGTTTAAATTTTCCGAAATTGTGGTGTGTGCCGTCTGTCGAGCATTTTTGTCTCTGTATAATTCATCTTGTTGGTCCCACAGACACCTTTGTTCTTTGGATAGTTGGATGATTTTAAATTCATGTCATCATTCCACTTTGGTCCCATTTTTGCTAGTAAGAAACAAAACAACAACACAACACACGCTTCAAGTGACGCAAGGGATCTAGTGTACTAACTACATGTACTACTGCCAGGTAAGGAGGCAAGACAGCGCTACTGGACTGGCCTACACCGTCTACACGGCGCCAATTGGGGCGACAACTGGATTTTCGAGGGGTGGGGGGCCTCGCTGGGCCCAGCTCATTGTCCTCAGTCTACTCCCGGAGACAACTGAATTTCGGGACAATTGGCGGGCCAATTGGCTTGCCAATTGGCCTGAAGTGTTTACACGAAGCCAGTAATTTCAAGCCAGTCAGTTGTCTCATGACAATTGTCTCGCCAACTGGCATCGTGTAAACCCGGCTTTAGTTGAAACTATTTCATGAAACAGTTGCTTCATATTGATTAATAAACTATTTCTTGCCATGGAGCCTAAATAAATTACATCGAAAAATGCATTTTGTTTTGGTTATTATAAAAAATGTATTTCAATGTTTAACCTGATTTGTGTATAATTCTGTTTTGAGTATTGAATATTCTGACTTATAAAAAAATAATGAATAGCTCTATGATATTGACAAATAAAGGTATTATGAAAACCAAAGCATTCGTAAAAGAAGTCCGAATATAAATTAAATGCAATATTCCTTACACGACCTAAGAAGTGTGAGAGTGCATAATCGTCAATCGTCTTAAAAGTGTTAAATATTTTAATTACTAAATATGCATTTGTAGATGTGGAATGTTTATTAATATTCTCCACCCATGTACTATATGATGTCAATACCTGCTTTGGAAAGTCCTAGAGGAAGCTGATTTGCAATATCGACTACATCTTGAGCAAACTAAACCACATACCCCTTACACCAAATTTAGCTGAACCAATCTTTCATATAAATGTTTTCCAAAGGTACTATACGTGATAACAACCAATTTTCTACTTTTGAGAGATTTTTTAGCGCTGGTGGCTGAGGAATAACTTTCATATTGTTCCAAAAGGTTCGAGACGTTACTGTATTTCTTTTTATAATGTAAAAGTACACCGATTGCAGGAAACGATGATGTCTGGCATTTCAATGTCTTTAGGAAAGACATTTAGTTTTTCATTAGGCCTAATGTAATGGTCAACTCTTTGTTTTTTTTTAGGAAAATCTAAAAATGTTAATTTGTATACCCATTGATTATGTAACCTGAACAGGTGACTCAAGCAGTTTTAAAATAATGATTGTTCTGTGGAACTTTTGATTTTTTCAAACAGTTTTGTTTATCAAAAAACCTCAAGTAATTTACAGTCACTAAAAATCATAAAATAATTTATTTTTGTAAAAAAATACAACCGACTTCAAACGCTCTAAAAAGAATGAAATAATTTCAATAAAGTAAACTTTTGTATTAGTCAAGCTCACGTGTTTCATGTCGGCTCTAACTGCAAATATGAATAAAATAAAAGATTGAGAGTTTATTTTGAAAATCAATAAATTGTAGCTGGATAACATAAACTGTACTGTTTTGTTTATATATCAAAGGAAGTATTTTCTTGTATTTTATGTTTACTTCAGAATGAATGCATTATGAAAATAACACACACAAATTAATAGGAAAATAACGTAATTTGATATTATGATAGGGAAAAGAAGCTAGTTTAATATATGTTACTTTTCTAAGCTAGAAACATTTAAATGCATTAAAATATTTTTAAAGATACTTGTTAATACCACTATAAGATTATAATTTATTATCTTATTAAAAAAAAAGTTATGATGGTATCTGCCGATGATGGGTTACAGTAATAAAATAACACCCCACGCATAACTATGAAAAAGACATGCAGATGAACACCTTTAGTTATAGATAGTCACCTGCAATGTGGACATTCTCTTTAAATTTTGTATCAAAAATCATCATAGAGCCGCGCTGACTTAAAATACGTGAGCTTGACTAATACAAAAGTTTACTTTATTGAAATTATTTCATTCTTTTTAGAACGTTTGAAGTCGGTTGTATTTTTTTACAAAAATAAATTATTATATGTTTTTCATGATAAACTTAAGCTTCATCCATGTAGGGGAAATTCCCTAAATAGCTTGTTTGATAGTTATAATAAATTTAAATTTCAGATTGCTTTTAAAACCCCTTTCTTATTTCTGGTGTTGATGAAGGATTTTAAATTCCGAGTTGTTTTTAGCCATCTTCATTAAGTGGAGAATATTAAGATTTTTATGCTGTGCAGTCTAACTTCTATTAGAGTTGCTGGTCTATACATTGCAAGTCACTCCACACCCTGACATTTATTAAGTACCCTACTTACTAACACTATCTAAGTTTCACCAGAAATAAACTGAGAATTATGTAGGCTACTGCAATTAACAAGTTGTATCTAGGCTCTCGGTTACAACTTTAGAAAACCCAAAAATGTCCTACAATTAAATTGACAACAACCATTCAAACCAACTTGCCTGTGAGTGTGCTTTAGTTGGGTATCCATCCCTAAATAATTGAGTTCTGTCATTAGGTGTATGAAGTGCCTTAGGTACTTTCAAATTTAACACCAAAATAAATTGATTGTAACAAAAACGTTCTTTTAAATCACAATTTAAGCCTTGTCTGTAGCATTGTATTTGTTGCTGAATATTTTGTTGCACTGTTGGTATGCTCTATTGCTTGTTTGCAGGTGTTTCGAGTGCCGGAGACTGCCACAGTGCTACTCAGGTAGGCCTACTGAGTACATTTCTGATGATATTTATTAAGTTAAATAAATATAATTGAAAATGTTAGAATACAGTAGAGCCCTGCTATTCCAAACTAACTGAGACCAAACCCTGTATAGATTAGTGGGAATTCATAATTAATGTATTTCATTAATAATATCAACATAACGGTGGCCAAATTGTCAAGGTTGACAATTGTGTAGTCGTGATTATGAAAAATGTTGGCATTATGCAGTGGTGATTAACATTTTCCGGTGTGGGAATGCTCAACATTTTCACAGAAAAATACAGAATAAATACAGGTCGCTTACCAATATATAGGTTCTTTGGAACGGCGTTCCCGCACCACTACACCACTGGCATTATGGCCACGATCACGAGGGATGGTAATGATGTTGCAGCATATGTAGGAGACAATAACAACGTCGTTGTAATCACAGAAGTTAATGTTGCTGTGACATTTTAGTGTAATGAAAGCTTTATTGTTCACGGAGACAATTCTACACCTTTTCCACTTTTTTTTCAGAAAGGGTCAATTGTATTTCAGAATAGTCATTTGTATTTTAGAAATGGCAATTTGTATTTCAGATGTAAGATTTTAATTTTTGGAAGCGTCAATTGTATTTCAGAATAGTAATTTTAATTTCAGAAATCATAACTTTTATTTCAGAAATGATAATTTATTCCATAAATAATTATTTGCATTTCAGAAGATATCAGTTGTATTTCAGAAATAATTTGTGTAAACAACTTTGTCATCAGCATTATAGTCCAGCAGCTGGCTATACTTTAGTGTGCAAACTTGCGTATACTCAATATTCTTGCATAACGTTGTAGTTTGATTTCTAGGGAGTTAAAAAAACCTGGGTGTTTACCTCCTACCCCCCGTGAGCTACGTTTTCCGGCTATGACGTCATCAAAATGGCGGCCATTGATTTTTTTAAAGCGTATATTTCGCAAACTATTTGTCGGATCGGAATGAACTTTTTTTGTTTGAAAGATAAGTTTAAATCCTATCTGTTTTACATTTACACATTTGTTGTATATCTAGTACATTTTTCGTAACTTTGCTAAAACTTGTATTTTAAAATATTTTTGTGTTTTTTTTGTATGTAACGTTTTATTGATACAATATATAAAAAAACCACCAATGAAAAAAGTTTTAAAACGTTTAAAAAGCTTTACAAAAATACAAAATTCAATATGTTTTACTCAAAAGATTACGTCAAAAAACTAGATAAATCTCATAAAAACACATATTTTGGGGCAAAAATGCCTATTAGTCCGGCCTCTAGGGCAGTGTGCAAGTCTTATATAGACAGTATTACCATTCAATGTTGATGTATGTGTCTAAATAAGTGTTTTCAACTCGGGTGTCACGTCTGCACCCACTGCAGTTTCCGGTTATGATGTCTTTAAAATTGCTACATGTTACAATTTCACCAACTATTTTACTTAAAATAAGACCATTACCCCCTTTTATGCAAATAAAAGCACAACAAATCAATGTAATTAGTCCATAGGAATGTTCCCACTATATAAATACCCTCGGTGCAGCAATCCTGACGACTAAGCGAATTTCCATTTGCCTGGATTGATTTTCAATTAATCTATTAATATTGTAAAAAGGTTAAAATACCTTTAACTGCCTTGTGATTCCTCTGTTTCTATACTGGACTACGCACGTTTCAATGCATTCGCATCATCATCAGGTCACAAACTTGAAGAACTTAAACCATTCTCGAATTGGTCGCGTCAAAGTTTACAAAAATAACACAAAACATTTAAACATAAAAAAAACAGGGACAAAAACTGTAGGCCTACAAACACTGGTGTACACATGACGGGTGTAATCTATTAAATTAATATTCTTTAAAAGTACCTAGGTTTGCTGCTAAAGGGAAACTAATAAAGTGGATTTTTTATTAAAATATTAATGGCTTAGTATTAGATAAATAAATCTGCCAAGTTTTATCAAAATGTATCCATAAACAAGCAAACTACTACATTTTTTACAATATTGTCCATAAGAATAACATTGGAATTTTAAATGAAACATGTTTTTAATTTCTCCGTAACCAATAACTGTGCAAAACACTTTTACATACTACATTATTTGTTTTTTTAAGCTCTTTCAAAAGGTTCAGAGAACAATTGATAGATTTTGTGTTCTAAAGGCAAAAAAGTTTAAAAAACCCCATTTAATCCCATAAAACCCCTCGTTGAACTCCATTCCCATGGTCCGATCATGCTGGTTTGTGAAATTATTCAAATTTATCCCGCCTTACACCTTCAGACCAAATTTTATCAAACAATTTAACATTTTGAACAAACAGTGTTTTTGGTCTCTAGGGACATCAAAATAAAAAATAAAATCGGTCCCAGACCTAGGTCTTACCATGACGCTTGTGATAATAGCTACTTTCAAATGTGGAAAATTCGCTAAAAATGTGCTTTAGAAAATCACTTAACTGCCTTTCGCCATTTGTGTCCGACTGCAAAAGTACTTGTTTCTGTCGCAAATAAATTAATCAAATTAACTAAATGAACAGCTTTTTTTTTAAAGTCAAAAGTATTTTCTTATCACACAACCAATGGACTGTAAACAATACACATTGTTGAATACATATCAAGTACAACTAAATTGATAACTGTCCTGATTTTTTTTTTAGCGAATTTCCCTATAGGGAAGTAGCTATTACCGTAGGTGGCACGGTAAGACCTAGACCCGGGACCGATTTACTTTTTAATTTTGATGTCCCCAGAGGCCAAAAACACCATTCATTCAAATTTTTATATATGTATATACATATAGACTTATATATATACTAGCTGTACCCGCGGGCTTTGCCCCGTTTAACTTCATATGTGAGCTCGTTCGCATGGCTCAATCACGTCCTGGTTGAAGTTCGTTCGCTACGCTCACTCACCTTTACGGTTGGAGCTCGTTCGCTGCGCTCACTTGCCTTCAGGTTAGCTCGTTCGCTACGCTACCTCGCCTCCGGGTTGAAGTTCGTTCGCTACGCTCACTCACCTTCTGGTTTCAAATTAGCTGTTGTCAAATATATAAAAAAAAAAAAAATAATAGTGCTGCACTCTGTTGGTAATCCTTGTAACTTTAATACTATTGAAAATCATAGAACAGAACCAACTTGTTTAATTGAAACAGCTGTTATGATTCATTAATTCCATTTAAATATGGGTACTCATTAGGTTTACATGGGAAACTCCAGAGCCACTGGGGCGGAGCCCGAGAGTCCGATTAGAATAAAAACCACTTAGTTTTCCTATTTAATGCCTAAAGAATCAGTGTACCAAATTTCAGCCTCCTAGGTAAGTGGGAAGTGGGAGAATTAGTGATGAGTGAGTGAGTCAGTCAGTCAGTCAGTCAGTCAGTGAGGGCTTTGCCTTTTATATATATAGATATATATATATATACGTCCGTGAACGCGATAACTTGAGTAATTTTTGTCCGATTTTGATGAAATTTGGTTTAAAGGTGTGAAGCGGGATAAACTTGAATGAGTTTGCGAACCAGCACGATCGGACCATGGGAACGGGGCTTTACAGGGGGTTTTATGGGGTAAAAATTGGGTTTTCTCACTTTTGACCCTCAAAACACAAAATTTCCCGATTTCTCTTTAGACCTTTTTAAAGAGCTTAAAAAAACAAATAATTTAGTATATAAAATAATTATTTTTTCGATTATTAGTAACGGAGAAAATTAAAAAAATTGTAAATTTAAAATTCCCATGTTATTCTTATGGAGAATATTGTCAAATGTTGTAGTTTGCTTGTTTATGGATATATTTTGATCAAACTTGGCAAATTTATTTATTTTCTACTAAGCTATCAATATTTTACTCAAAAACACACTTTATTAGTTTCCTTGTAGCAGCAAACCTAGGTACTCGTTAAACCTAATGTTATTAAAATATACATTTAACTGAAAATCAATTCAGACAAATGGAAATTCGCTTAGTAGGCAGGTTTGCTGCGGCGGGGGTATTTTTTAACTTGTTTGATACTCAAGTAACATACCAATTAAATAAGTTACAACTTAACTTAATTGGCCAATAGTGGTATTGCTTGCTAATAGGTAAGCTTAGGATTAAAATCAAGATATTAGGCATATAATATATTGTTCTATCACTATTCGTAAAAACACACTTAGTCCAAGAATTTTAGGAATAAAAAAGCCATTCGACTTAACAAATTTGGACTAAGTGGAAACTTTGCACAGTTGTTTAGTAAGCCTAAATAAATAAAATTTCTTAAGTCCCCATAAATCCCGGCTTTGCTTCAGCTGCCATCTTGGAAAATGGCGGCCAATTTTAATTTTTTTGACAATATTTCACAAACTGTATATATTGGTATTAGAGAATTTTTGTAAATACAAAAGTTAAAGACCGTCTAAAAATACATCTTTTTTATATTACAAGGTTTGCTCTATCTCTAACAGTTATTGAGATAAATAATAAAATTTTGTATTACATTTAAAATTCACATGTTATTCTTATGGAGAAAAATAAAATTGTTGCAGTTTGCTTATTTATGGATATACCTGGAGGAGTATGTACTCCTGGTTAGTATGTGAATAACTAAGACTTACAGTATTGATCTCTGTATTAAAAATACGGCGAAAAAGGGAACTCTATAAACGCTGTGTGTCCGTAGAGACGATAACTTGAATTACTTTTGACTTGAGTCCGATTTTGATGTAATTTGGTTTGAAGGTGCAAGGCGGGATAAATTTGAATAATTTCGCAAACCAGCATGATCGGACCATGGGAACGGAGTTCAACGAAGGGTTTTATGGGATTAAAATGGGATTTTTTTTATTTTTTTACCCTTAGAACTTTATCAATTGTTCTTTGAACCTTTTGAAAGAGCTTAAAAAAACAAATAATGTAGTATGTAAAAGTGTTTTGCACAGTTATTGGTTACGGAGAAATTAAAAACATGTTTAATTTAAAATTCCAATGTTATTCTTATGGACAA